GTAAAGTGGAATCGGTCATTTAAATATACTGACACCCAAAGAGTGAGTTGATCTTGACTAAAAGAAGGAAGCGATTATTCACAGGGATGCCGCGACTAGAATAAGACTAAGAATCTGATGTGTGTGTTGTGGATTCGAACCACGACTAACCTTCCTGGGCGCGTGTGCGTCCGCACGGCATCAAACGATTAATGTTTTTCTTTCCTGGAAATAAGTTAAAAATGTGTATTATGCTCAAAAGAAGCATCAAACAATTAATGTTTTTTCTCAAAATAACTTACAAATGTGTATTAAGCTCACATAATTGTAGCTCTTTGATCTGATCTGAATAACAAAATGTAACTATTTATAACTTTAGTACAAAAAGCTGGCACGTAGAATCACAGGTAAAATAATTAATGTTTTAGACCTGACACAAGCAATTCTATTGCACGGAAGAGATTAAATTAATGAGAGAACGATTCTACGAATGGACTTACGAGAGAATTGTAAATCGCTTTAGATTTCCTTGATATGCTAATCTCTGGGATAAGCTTTCATTAAAATTTTCGTGGTCCAGAAAATTATGCTTAGATTAGAATCCAGGGTTTAACTCCTTTCGAGGGGGCAATTCAGTAGAACAATGAAAGCAATGGTTGCAATAATGATCTGCCGTTGAAACATAATGGTGGTAGCGACAGTTGCACTATCTCAAGTATAGTTTTTGAGCTAGTTGTCGAAGACGCTAGCTCGTAATATAGTGCTCGTTTTGTGCGGGCTTGCCACAAGGGACTTTCGATGACTCCCTCGTCGAAAGTCTCGAATTGGATTATGTTGCTTATCGTAGCTTATACCACGAGAACAGTAATCATAATTGAGCTATTTATATTCACTCAGTGGTGGGCGGTAAAACGAATTGACGTTAAAGTTCAGAAAAGAGATTTTAGAATGTTCCGTAATAGAAGTATACATACACGGTAGAGTGTAGCTAAAGTACATGCGACGATGTACGTTGATCAAAAGTGCATCAAAAGTGCAAAAAGTTTCGAAAATAAAAAGGATAAAAAGAACTCTCATAATGAATAGAGTACATGTGACAAGGTGTACTAACAATTTTGAGTAAAGACAGACAACATGATTATTTAGTGGGAGAATGTTGTCTACAATGCTAGTGGACGATCACGACAGTCGCCCAACAGGCTTTCGGGTTTTTCTCACAACATCCAATTCGATGTGTCGTAGTGTAAAAAGAATGTAGATTTAACTAGATGACAGAGTTGACAATTGTTTCGACAAATGTTTAGTGAAAAACTTTAGCAGGACCAGCATCGCCACCACGTCTACAAAGTATAAATATCTGAAGTGCGATGAATGAGATATTCGTTCCTTGATGTGTTAGGATGTAAAGCATCATAAAAAATAAGGTTAAGTGCGCTAAGCTGGTACCTGTCTGCTCATTCCCAGACTACAGTTTTTATGCGCAAGATACACTACACTCGGAAATATGACTAAGATGGGAAGTGCCGTCTTTATAAGTGGTCAATGACTCTGGTAAAAGGCAGTGGGAGAGTCGAAAAGGTGGGGCCGTGACCTAGAAATGCGCGACGGAACACTGTTTCAGGCGATGTGAATAAGAAAAACGTCAAACCTTATGGTGAATAAGCAGGGGTATAAGTGGTTGGTGTAATTTGTACAACTAATGACTCATATTAAGAATGATAGATGCGCTCAGCTTTGTGGAGTGATTACGGGTTCAAGTGCAAGCAGGTTTTAGATCAATTCTCAGCGTAACGCTTGGGATGCTTTCAATTCTTATGTGATCCGCAATATCTATATGATTTTGCCATTAACGTTTCGCGAGAAATAAAACTACTCGAAATAATTATCGATTGACTAAATTGCACGTTAAGAATAAATTCAGAAGCGATACCTAAATAATCTCTTTCTTAGGCATGAGCGTGACGGCGTTTATTGAAAAATTATTCAGAGCTTGACACTAAGTCTATTCTCTATTGAGAGCTAATCTTTACCTATTTAAGAGTCCTATTTTCACTTGTCACTCGACTAATATCTTCATCCGCTTCGTTGTCTTGAAGCGGCATCAGGGATAAAATTCGCGCACTAACCCGACAAAGCACTTAAATAGTGGTTGAGGCGTTAATGTGTTAATTCCGTTAGATATTTTATGATGAACATGCGAGATCGTTCTCATGTCTTCACCAAGTGCGGTCTACAGCCTCATTGATCAGGAGAGAGGTTTAGTGCTTTACGATTATAATTTTTACGATTAATGATGTGTAATTTTGCCAGAAAGTCTAAGCTGAGAGCTACCTGAGGCCAAATGCCGAACTTCAATCTCATAAAAGACGATTAGGTATATAGAGTCTCGACGTAGTTCCTGAAGTCTCAGTGCTTTTCCTTCTAAGGCTAAAAAATTACTTGCATGTTTATTCCTAGCAACTACTTACTTCTGCATGAACGGCTGTGTAGAAAGTTTACGAATCTCACCACTCCTAGGTTAGGATGACGGTGGAGAGTTGCTATCGCAGGTGTAGAACTATCACGTACAGCAGATGATTCGTGCTACTGCCACTCAAGTCGAAGACGCGACGACTAAAGCAAGCTGCTTGGGTAGCAGTAAGCTATTGCCAACAGTATGTGCAGTCGACGTCCCGGAAGCAAATCTGGGCTTACATGCCTTCTGTTCGCAAATTGAAATCTATGATGTATGTGTACGAACACAAAAAATAGCATTTGAAATCTAAGGGTGATTTAATGACTAGTATTTGTCATAGAATATTAATCATTGCACTCACAGTCAAATGTACCTCATAACAGTAAAAGTCAAACGTCTCGGCATTTGGACTAAAATCGCTATCTCTGAGAGAAAGTATTGTAAGTAGATAGAACACGAACGAGTTGAAATTTCTCAGTTGGAATCTGCAGAATTCCGTCATCACTATAACATGACATGAAATACCGTCGTTCGTTATTGCTTCGCTGAACGTCAAATTTTCTAAGATATTTATTTACCCGTTTTTTCAGCAATATTATAATAACACTGGAATTGTCTAGATAAGAGCGGCCGGGGCGAAAAAATAGTACTCAATAGTAACTTCAAGGAGTCTTGGAAATTTTATTTATTTAGCATTTTCAGTAGTTTCTGTTTATTCCTATTCTTATCTATTCTTCTTCTTACTTTGAACTCCTCGTAATTCTTATTCCATCCCTTCTGACCCTACCTGCATAGCTTCAAGAAAGCACTGTGCGATATTGAAAATCTCGACTGAAACGATTTTGTCGGTATGAATATATACGATAATCACGAGGTAAAAATTGGAGCTAGAAGTTAGATTGATTCTACACTTTTTTTGCTTGGTCTTCGAAATAAAAAATAAAACTTGAAAAATATTTTATTACCGGAAAGCGCGCGTGTTTGTTCGTCCTTGCTTTGCAAAAATTAAAGTGCCCTTGCATACGGAATTTTAGGGTATATTTCCAGCAATGCTGTGTACTACGGGAAACCTTGAGCCACAGACGGGTTCCGCTTCCTCTTCAGATTCAAAGCTTTGCATATCACTCAACAAACTGGAAACATAAGTAGTGTTGATCTGCTTCCCTATTTGCTTCGATGTCATATTATTTTCCGTACATATTCTTCAATATGAAACACCATCAAACTCTCTATTTAAAAAAAAAATTGGGGAAAAACTGAGCATGTATAGGAACAGCGTACGCTAATTCAGTGTCAGACTTTTATCGACGTCTACAGAGAAATTTCCTACAAAATTATAACCTACAGTATCTTTTAAACGTCTCAAGTCACCATGTCATGAGACATTTGTCGCTCGCCCCTTGGTCGAACATTTCAAAGAGCGCAAAGAAGAAATGACATTCGGCTTTTATGAGCACCATTTCGTAAACATCATCGAAGTACAGAAATGTCACTGTAGAGTTATTTATTGCAATCATTTCCAATATGGCTGTGTCGAAGGATGGATGTGCATACTTTCTGAAGTAACCAAACCTGCTGCTACCGTTTTCTGAACTCTTCAGCCGTCCTTCTTCAAAAGCATAAAATTGCTACCTCATAAATTTGCTACACGATGAGCAGGCGGCTTCCGCATGTTCGATTCACAATCAAAGTTCAGTTTCATGATGCCTAATTTACGAAAATTGTACAGCAACAAAATTGTTATACTGTCGATTGGGAAAAAATAAACGCAACTAGACGTATTCCGTATAGACGTGACGATAGAGCAATGGTAAGAGTGAAGCATATGTATCGCCTGGTAAAGCGGCTCACAAATTGTTGAGAGCTCATATTTGAACCTCAAAGACTTAGCCAGCTTAGGCGACTCAAGATTCGTTATGGTAGTAGTAGCAGTAGTAATTTGGCCTTCTTTAGAGCCTGAACGTACGATATATTATATCATTCCTATAATCCGGCGGATCAACGATGCCTTGAACCGTTTGAACTTCATGACCTCAAAGGGGCGACATATACCAGCTGAGTTACACGATCGTTTGAAGGCCTTTCTCTCTTAACAAAACCTTTCTCCTAAATTTTGGTAATCATTCGAAAGTTTAAATCTCTGCGATTCCAGCAAATACTTGATTTTTGAAGAAGCCTGTTTATTACGCTGTAGTAGCGAAATAAAATCATGTTTCACACTCAGTTTGCTTTAATTGCTCGGCTGAAGCTTCTGTATAGTCGTTGGCCAAACTCTTACTAGTCATTCGATATCACAAATCTTAATAATTTAGATGCTGTTATTAATATTTCAAAAGGTCGTCATGGAATGCTGCAAGAGTGAGAAGAAAATTACGTTTCGTACTCAAAGTTTTTGTCGTATGAAAGAGTTACATCTGCACGAAAAACATAAGACAATATAGAGAAATTTCTAGCATTTCAACAGAATTTTTCGCATTGTCATGATGTCAACCCGACCAAACCTGTTAAAGGTTGGTGGCTGTTAGCTAACATAGAGATGTTGAAGAATGAGTGGTGGTGCAAATGTGCCTCGGTGGAGTAATGGTAGAACACGCGCCCAAGGAATGGATGAAACGCGGGTTCGATTCCTGCCTGAGGCCGTGTTTTTGCTCACCACTCAATTATCGATGTAGAAAATATCATGGAGCATCAGAGTAACGCAAGAAGCTTGAGATTACCTTTTTCAACTTGAGAAGCATCCCATATGACAAACTGAATAACGCAAATCATGCGCCTCTTTCACGTTGCGCTGTGCGATCGATCAACTGTCATTCTCAAAGGGTTAAACGGAGAAAAGGTCCCAGAAACTGTATGTCTCAAGTAATAGTGCCGTATTATATAGGATCGAAAAAAAAAAGTTTGTCGGTTATTTCCTTGAGCGTAAGCTGCACTGTTTGAATTTATTGGGATCAAGTTCATATGTGTACAAATGAGTTGTGTTCTCCATGTCAATGGTCCGTAGCTCCTTTATTATTTGGAATAGACTTCTGGATCGAATAATTAGCGAAAAGACTGAAAAGGAACAAGCAACTAAAAAACCCAAACTCCACCTGACTGTAGGTCAGAAACCTAGCTAAGAAATTTTCCTAACCCTTGACAACTGTAATTTGAAACCGACTCTCCATTATCTTCGGCATTATCAATCAATCGCATCATCTTTCTTGATTAAGCGAGGAGTACGAAGTTTTTTAGGAAAACCAATTTATCTCGTTGACGTTTCGACGCGTTTGAGAAATGTTCTCTCATATAGAAAATATAATTTTAACGAAAAAGGTTTTGATGTTTTGCCATTATCTCTTATTGTACAATAATAGGAAAAGGTCTCAAAAGCCAACTAGAAATATTAAGAATAATGTGAGCACAAGGGAGATAGCGGGGAACAACGAGGTCAATTGGTGACATTGCGAAACTTGAGGACACATGACCGCAGGAAAGTTTTGAATTATTCAAAAGATAGTGTAATGCCAGAAATCTTACCACTGACAATCCCTTCTAAGCGCGGATCACACTTTCATTTGAATAAATCATCTGTATATCGGTGGCGAGAGCAAATAACGACGGTAAGTGTGGTGTACCTTCTCGAAATTAAGTATGATTTTGGAGTGCAATGTTACGACTTGGATTTTTGTTTTTGTGACTTTACACGACTTAAGATACACAGGAACCTGAACCTGCTCCAACATATTATAATACAGTAAAGTAAAAGGAAACGTGATCCTTCACTGATTCCGGTTGTTTGCACTTACATTAACCCTATCATTCAAACTCATTGTACTTCTTCTTGTGACTAGTGGTACTTCTTCTTGATTGTACAAGAATATATTAGATGAGTTGTAAACTTATTAAAGTAATGATTGAAGGCCAAGATAACCTGTTTTTCTCTCAAATAAGGCGTTGCAGCTGTTGCCCTTATATTACCTCGATTAAAGTCACATCATAAGGATTGTTGGCAAAGGTGAGTCGAAAACAAACAAATCAATAAGAAACTCGGATTTTTTTTTCTGAGCGAAACTGTTTCTTGCTAACTATAATAACCGATAAGTGCTAACAAAAGGTCTGTACAGCAAAAAAAAACCCTCAAAATCTCAAAAAAAAGAAGTCATGGCAAGGCCTAGCTCAGATCTTATATACTTTCAAAACAGATACCTAAAAAGAAACTTTTAGTTACAAAGTAACAAATGAGTGACCGACCTATTTCACTGTACAAGATTCCTCATAGGTGCATTAGTAATCATTCGTAAGATTAAATCACTGGCTGTTTCACATGTGAAGTGCGATTTTGTTATTCAAGCAGAGGTTTTTTTTTCACTTTGAGAGAAACTTCTGATCTAAAGTTTCTCTATGATACTACGAAATCTACTCTACACGTTGCTATGATTTTGTGCTTCAAACAAAGTAATAGATGAATTGCGCGGCCGATGTAGAACATCACATTAATGTGAATTTTACAGCGTTATAAAAGGGTGTTCAAAAAAACAGGCCATATAAGGCGTTAGCTAGAGATTCAAGCTTTCGAATAATTACTAAAACTCCCATGAAAATTTTCTATATAGTGAATGAAGTCGAATATTCATTTGTTCCTTATAACCAAAAAATACCTCTTAAAGAACAAGAGTAGACGTCAGGCGATTCAGCACTATTCTGAATGCATCATACTTTCCTTACTGTTACAAATTGTTAGATTCCCAATTAGCCAAAAGCACAAAAAACAAACGATGGAATGAAATCAATACTGAATGGCCTGTTAATGCTACAGTGTAGTCTAATCATGTGCTCGTATGGAAAGATTGAAAAACTGCCGGCATCTACCATTTCTTAAGGGATGAGTCATGCGTTATACCCCATTAAGTATTGTAGAGATGATTGAGTGCATAGTTCATACGCATAACGACTTCGGTGACCTACGAACGTCTCTAACCGGTGATTCTCTATCCTTCCAAAAATGTTCAGAAAAACTTTTCTCCCAAAAATAATGGAAGCCTTCGTTTATAAGACACACAATCAAACTAGGGACAGCAGGTGTAATAACAACATCTATTCTCACAACATTAGATCATCTTCTTCCAGGTAACTGATGAATGGTTATAACTATTGAAAACTCCAGTAATTATTCTATCAGTTCTAACTGTAATAAACCCAATGATGTAGAGTGGTGTGCAAAAACGTTTGCGTCAACCGTCACAAATTTCAAAATTTCACAAACTTCTAACTGTCACAAATGCTGTTAAATTGAGTTCGCATGGATTCGCCTTTGTTTGTGGAGATTTTGTCACTCATTTGTAATATTGAGTACTAGATAGGCTAATTGAGTATTCTCTGCTAGTCTTTACATGTTTTTTAGAGATTCTCTGATTCTTCATCGCATGCTGACTCCGGCCGCTGAGGACTAAGTGTTAGATATTTCAAATTTAAGACGAGGCTCTCCAGGATGGTACCGATTCGAACGATTGTTCGACCGATTGATCGAGGGCGATGTAACGAGACTAACACGACACAATTTTACCTTTTTACATTTTATGTGCAACCGTTTCTAATATCTGAACCAAATTCGTCATATATCAGTAGAAACATTCGTATCTACTGTATTCTCTCAATAATTCGCTTAGCAGTGACGTTGGAAGATCTCCAGCGAGACATATCTCACTTTTTGACAGTATAGCTTTACTGAATGAGCAGAGATGACTTTGAAAAAGATCTACTTGGGAATTTTTATGAGTAGACATAGTTAGTTGCGCACCTATTTTTCGTAACAATCGAATCGCTGTAACAGCAGGATAACCTTAAACAGCAAGATCAGAAAGTTGAACTCAGTTCCCAAACTGCTAGTGATCGCGCACCCCTCCTGTGTTGGACAAAGGAGTTCATAGCACTGAAAGTTTATTATAGGTGTTTTTACAGCCTACGACTTCTTGTTTCTCATAAAGACAATTCTAATGATTTTGATAAAAGGTAATCGACCACGACAAATTCTCTTTCCCATCAAATCCTACAAGTTATAATCTGCCTTTCTTTTTCTAAACTTTCCTCTAAAAGGTGACTACGGAAGCATTTTTTTATTCAGCGTACTCTATTGTTTATGTTTCATCGGCACATTTCATTGGACCTACAAAAACTTTACGACCATAATGCTGCCACTCTGAAACCAAATCATTATCGAGACAAAAAAAAAGTTCGATAAGGCGACATTTCGCTAACACTACTCAGTTCCACTTCTAAAAAGATTGTGTGAAAGCCGGAATGGTAAGAGATGAATGTGAAAAAAATATTGAACAATATATACTATTGTTATTCTGACAACGTGGCTGCTATAATTCAAAGTATTTGCTATATGAGCTGATTGGAGAGAAGATCCGAATATAGCATGTATCACAAAAAACAAAGAATCTTTCATATTTTCTATCCACTTTAGGAGGAAAGTGTTAAGAGTCACCGGATGCTACAAAGATGAAAATTCAGATTGGCACGTCATAATGACGAACGACTTAGCACCGGACCTCAGCAGAGGAAAACAATCATCGGTACTTATGTGTTAGACGGCAACAAATGAAAAAAAGATCTTCTTTCTCTGAGCAAGAACTTTTCACAGGAGTGTTAGTAATCTTGGAAAGCACAAATCTTTGTCTAGCGCATTACGTGGCCAATTTTGAAGAAGTCTTCATCATTACGCTTCAATGAAAGAAAAAGTTTTGTGTTCCACGCACGCGTTTTCTCGCAAGACAGAGCTCTCTCTTTAGACTATTAGTAGTCATTCGATAGCGTTAGTTACCACAATTTAGATGCTGTGCTTAATTTCTGGAAAGACCGTTTAAATGTAGTGTAGCAGAGGAATTAAGTTCGAGTTTCACTTCTTCGGCGTCGTCGTTTATTGGTTAATGTGCGGTTGGGTGTGTGGTCTCCGTAGATTCAGTGCGGCGGTCCCGTCACCTATAGAACGATATACGTTTTTGCGCCATATGAAGAGAACGAGATATGCCATTCGATTAGGATTTTTTTCCGCTTTGAGATTTGCTTTGAGAAACTTTTGATTCTGATGCTAAAAGATTTTCTCTACACGATCATGTGATTTATGCTCTTCCAGCGAAGTAGTGGTTTAATTGCGAAGATAGATGACGTAAAACAGACGACGTAAAATATAGATTTATTTTGAATTTGTCAGTGTCAATAAAGGGTGTTTTGGAAAACCGGTCATGTGCGGCGCTGGCCAGAGATTTGAACTTTCAAATAATTACTAACAATCTCATAAAACTCCTTGTCAAGCGTGAGGAATCCGTTTTTCCCTTGTCGCCGCCTAACATATAGATACACAATCATCTTTCAGAGTTCATAGAAGAGCTCAATATGCTAAGGAGTACAAACAGCAACAGACTGCTTGTTCATCACCGTATCTTCACGAGCCCATATGTTTTGAGAGCACAGTGAGCACCATGACGTTACGAAAGTCTAGTATAAGTGAGATTTTTCTTGCTGACTCTGGAGTTATAATTTACAGAAAATACGGTGCCATTCTACAACAAAATCACCATTGACGTAAGAAGAGGTGTTCGACAAGGCGATACAGTTTCGTCAAAACTATTCACTGCCACCCTACAAAACGTCATGC